TGGCAGGGGGGCACGTTAGTCCCCCCACTCTTGCAGGGCGAAGGCCGGGAGCTTCTTCCCTCTCAGCACTGCAGGTGAAAAACGAGGGCTTCTTGCAGTTATTGCAGCGCCCCATCCCAGGCGTTTGGCTCTTGTGTTTTCCCACGTGTCCCACGTGTGGGGCGGGTGTCGCTGGGGGGTTTCCCGCTGTCGGGTGCTGGGGTGGCCCCGCTGGGGAGGGAGGTGCCACCGTCCCCTCCCATGGCGGGTGCGTCCGACGGAGGAAGCGGATACTGCAGTGGGAGGAGGGAACGTCCTGTGGGTGCCACAGGTGCTGCCCCGGGGAGCCCTGAGCGGGGACCCTGCCTGGTTTCGGCACCCAGAGCCCAGGGGAAGGAGCAGGGAGGGGCGACACCGGCGTGACTGGGGAAGGGGGGACAACTCCTGCTCCCACGCTGCCTTGTGCTGTCGCAGGGGGCCGTGAGTGGAGCTCGTGCCTGCAGGGGTCTGTCCGGGGTGTTGGGGCCTGGCCTGGTGCCCCCGTGCCTTTGCCATGGGGGTGTTGGGCTGCAGGACCAGTTTCCGGCACCGTGACCTTCGCTGCCCTCTCTGACCTCTGCGATCCTGCGCCTCCTCCCTTGGTGGCTGCCGGGGAAGCTCTTGGGCCTGAGGGTGACAATCCTGCCTGGGGTGGCCCCCGCACCCCTGGAGCCAGCCCTGCCCCTGCAGATCATGTGGTTTGTCACGGTGAGTCGCTCTGTTGGCTCCTGCCACCGCGGGAGGTGACAACACCCCGGTGTCCCCTCTGGGTGCCCTCCGGGGGTGCCCGGCGTGGGAAGGGTTAAGGAGGGAAGGCTTCCCCTGCCAGGGGTGTTGCTGGGAACAGGCAGTGAGGAGAGGCTGCCATCTGCACATTGCGATTTGGTGAGTGTGCAGGGGAGGGGCCCTGCCCTGGCCCCTGGGGTGCTGGGGCCCCCCTGTTTCCTGGGGAGAGGTGGGGGCTCTGCTGTGGCACCGGGTGGGAGGTGGGGGGCCCTCAAAATCCCCCAGGGGTTGGTGTTGTTGTGGTCTGACCATCTGCTCCACGTGTCCATGTCCCTCCACCGTGGGAGATGGACCTGACTCAGCCCCAGCGGGCACTGGAGTGGGGGTCGTGCCCTCCCTGTGCCCTCCCCGTGCCCCCCACACCTTTGAGGGCAGCGTGTCTGAGGTTTTCACCTGTTGAAACCCCGCAGGTGTGCTGGGCAGAGGTGCCAGCGCAGACCCCCCAGTGCAGGAGGCCCCACATGTCCCCTGGCGTGTCCCTCCCTGCTACAGCTGGGGTCTCTTCCCCTCCCCAAACACCTTCCCCTGATGACAGCACCTCACGTGTCTCTCCCAGTGATGCTCTCAGCAGATGCAGCCATTCCAGCAGCTTTTTGCCTTCCAGCCTTGCTCCCACGTGGGACTGTGGCTCCCAGCAGCCCACGGTGGGTGCTGAGTGCTGGTGGGGTCCACGAGGTGGGAGGGTGAGCCAGAGGAGCTGTGCAGTTTCTCCTGGGACATATCCCAGAGAGCAGGCAGGGGAAGGTGGTTTAGGCCCGTTTTTTTGCTTTAATTGGCTGGTTTGGCTTTTGGAACCCACGTGTCCATCTGGAGAGTGGGTCTGTCCATTCTGTGTGCTCTGGGGCTCAGTGCAGCCTCTCTCATTCCACTGGGGATGCAGCTCAGCTTTTTTAATTCCCAAAGAGAAAAATCTTAAACCCGAGCCAAGAAGGGTAATTTTGGGGGAGTTGAGGTTTTTTTTCTTTTCATCCCCACTTGGCAACATAAACAGCATCCCTGACAGCTTTACATTGAGTTTGCCATGGCAACCTACAGCAGCCAAGTGTTTCCAACACCCCATTCCCAAAGTGGGAGAGGAGATGAACCCCAGTGGGTGCTGCTGAAGGGCAGTGTGTGGGGCTGGGGTGCTGGTGGCTTGGGGAAGGTGATCCACCGTGATCCAGGTGACCTGAGGTTTGTTTGCTCATGGACCTGATCCTGCTTGTCCAGGCTGGGGTTCGTGGCTCTGGGCAGGGGATGTGGTGGCTGCTCTTGCTCCTCCTCAGCATGGTGCTCTCTGCCCTGGATGGTGAGGGTTGTTCAGGCTGGAGGGGAGCTGAGCTGGGGTAGGGATTTCATCCTCATTCATGGATAAAGGAAAACAACAGCTGAGCTTGGTCAGGGCTTGCTCCATCTCTGGTCATCTGCAGGGAGGACAGAGCAGTGCTGGGGTCTGCTCTGATGTGCTGAGCCAGGAGGATCCATGGCCTTGCCCAGGGACCCAGTGGTGGCTGCTGCTGGCATGTGCCAGCTCCTGGTGCCACCAGTGTCGCAGCGAGGCCACTCGTGGCTTGGCTGAAGGCATCACGTGTGACACGTCCAGCTGATTTAATTATTCCTGTCCCCCTCTGAGCACTTTCCTCTTCCCGAGCTTAAAAGCCAGCGGGTCCCTTTCGCTGTGCCAGGGGCCGGGGTGGGCACGGGGGATGCTCTGGTGCCGGCTCTGGCCGTGGCTGCTCTCCCTGCCAGGACGGAGGTGTCGTGCAGCCGTTTATTATTCCGGGCAGGTTCGCCTGCAGCACGGCATCGGCTCCGGCATCGGCTCCGGCTCTGCCGCTCCTCGCCAGCCGCTCCCTCCTGCCCGGAGCTCGTGCCTCCCCCAGCCCACACCCCGGCCCGTGGCTCCAGACAGTCCATGTCCCTCATCCCAAACTCCACAGCAGCCCTTGTCCTGCCCAGGGGTGTCGTTTGGGAGCTGACACGGCTCTGGGGGTGGTCCCGTGTCCGCACAGGGCGCTCGGGCTCCCGCTCCTTGTTTTCTTCCCAAGGAGGCCCTCGGGGAGCACTTGTTCCTCTCCAGTGCCTGGGGGCTCTGGAAGTGAATTATAGGAGTGAAGGGCAGCCTGCTGAACGCTGCTGGAGTCATTAGGAGCTCGTTAGGATGATGGCTCTTAGGGAAGCCTGAGTGCAGCTCTCCGGACCGATCCTTCCCGGTTTGGCCAAGGAACGCAGGAGCCTGTGCTGGACTGGTGGGTTGGGGCAGAGACAGGCCAGGAATGGGTCTGTGACCCCAGATGGGCTGGAGGAGGGTGCTCAGAGCAGACACAGGAGCCTTTCCCCCACCACAGCCCTTCCTTTCCTGAGGGGCAGAGCCAGTCCCGGACCAGAGCCGTGGGTGGGACACGGGCTGGTGCTGATGGTGCCGTGAGCTCCTCCAGGGGTAATTATGGACTAGGCCGTTACAGGATTAATTAACCGTCTTTCTCTTAACCTCTGAGCTCTCCTCAGACAACGTTGGTTGCTACGAAAGAGGAAAAAATTAGCGTGTTGGGGTGAGGGAATTATCTTTTTTTCTCTTAATCAGCAGGAGTCTGCTTAATTGGGCCTGCCACCTCCTGCTTCCCGCTGCTGGGAGCCAGCACGCCTTTAAATGATGGATGAGCTCAGCTCCACGAGGAGCTGTGGGGTAACCGGGCTGGGAATGGGCAGGGATGCTGGGGTGGGAATGCTGGAGTTGATCTCTGCTTTATGGGGCAGCAGCAATGCTCTGCCCCAAGGGTGCAGGTTCGGGTGTCCCGGGAGCCGCAGTGCTCCCCATCCCTGAGCTCCCTGTGCTCCCAATCCCTTCGGTGCCTGCAGCTGGGGGACAGGACCCTCCTGTGCAGTGGCATTGCTGGTGTCCCTGGGGTTCAGTTGGTGCCTGTTCTGTCCTGATAATGCCCAGAGCTGCCCTGGGTGTTGCTGTCAGGGAGCTGCTCCCAGGGGCCAGGCAAGGAGGGGTTTGCTCTCTGGGCTCTGGTGTGACTGCAGCTGGGGTCCCGTGCTGTGGGGTGAGCTGGGACAGCCCCAGGGTGGTGTGGTGCCTGCCTGTTGGGTTTGTGAGGGCTAGTGCATCCCATGTGCCCCTGGGAAGCACGGATAGATGTCCTTCCACCTTCCTCCTGTTCTTGTCTGGCTGCTTTTCTTCCCTGTTCGCTTGCTCTGCCACCTCCTGACCCTGTCTCAGGCTGCTGCTGCTGCTGTAGTGGCCGTTCCTTTTGTTATTCATTTATATTGCTCTAGGAAAGACTTCATTTTCTCTGCATAAGAGCCTCCCTTGCAGGCTCTTTGCCTCTGGAGCGCTGGGAGCATTGCTGGGTACAGAGCTGGAGGGCACCCTGGGTGACAAACAACACTTTTCCCCTCTGGCCTGTGCTGCTCTGCCTGCTCCCTCCATGTCCCTATTTGTCCCTAGCCCCCATCCTCTCTGTCTGGAATGCCAGTGGGGGACCCCAGATCCCTGGGGAACGTGGGAGCCGCTGGATGCTGTGCCTGCCTGGCCACAGCACTTGGTTCAGGCGTTTTTGGGACTCCTCTGTCCTCGCTGGCAGGGCTGGGGGGTTGTAACCTGGCTGGCAGGTGCTGAGAGCCGAGGCCAAGAGCCACTCGCTGCCTTCGAGGGCTTCTCTGAGAGGGTCATTGATGGAAAAGCCTCTGTTTTAGAGGAACTCACAGATTTTAGTGGCTTCCCTGGTCCCTGTGGTGTCTCTCAGCTGGTTCAAAGCCTGCTGGGTGCAGTAAACCCCTCTCCGTGGGTGTGGGATGCTCCCTCACCTGCTGGCAGGGCGGAGGGCAGCGCTCCAGCCCCGGCGCCTGCCTGTGCAGGAAGCAGCTGTTTTCCACTGCCGAGGTGTATTTTTAACCCAGAGTGAATGGGACGTTTTTCTGGGCCGGGCAGCTGGGTTTGAGTGAAGAACCACCTGGGCGCCCTTCCTGCCCGGCCCCAGCGCTGCCGCTGCCGGTTTTCCCCGCGGCGTGTCCGCGCCGAGCCTGCCAGCTCCCTCCCGGGCCAGCTCCTCACCCCCAGGCTTTTGGGTCAAAATCATGGTGAAACCACGTTACCCCTGGCAGGTGCCCAGCCCGGGGTGCCACCGCCCCCGCTCTCCCACCCCGTGCACTGGTCCTGGGGCCTCCTTCACGCCGGTGTTTCTGTTTCCCCCCATCCCTTGTTTTCGCAGCTCCAGTTGCTGTGGTATCCAGGGAGCCCTCCTCCTTCTGCAGGAGATGCACGCTGGTCGTTGCTAAGGTCGCCTCCGCGGTAACATGCACATCCTGTTTACACCTCTATCCGGAGAAGTTGGGCTCGGTTAGAGGCACCTGCTCCCCCAGGGAAGGGGCCGCACGGAGCGTCCCCCCCGCGCCGGACCCTCGAGGGAGCCGCGAGCCGGCGTCGGCATCACCGGCACCATGACGAACAACGTGGCCGACCACCACCCCGGCAACTCGGTCGCCGAAGGCAACCATGAGGGGGACTTCGGGTGCTCCATGGTGGAGCTCAGGAACCTCATGGAGCTGCGGAGCGCCGAGGCGGTGGCCCGGCTCAACGACTCCTACGGCGGCGTGCAGAACGTCTGCAAGAGGCTCAAGACGTCGCCCGTCGAAGGTGAGTGGCCGCCCCGTTGGCCTTGCCAGGTGGGGTTGTCACCTCTGGAGGGTGGTGGCTCCGAGGCGTGTCCCGTGGCCGAGCTCAGCCGGTGCACCCGCTGTCCATCGTCGGAGACGCTCCTCGTGTCTCGTAAAATGGTCGTTTAGGGCAGAAAAGGAGGGAGAAGAAAGAGAAGCATCATGCCAGGGGGTTCCCCGGGGCGTAGCCCGGAGCCCCATGTCCCCTGGGAGGATGGAGCGGAGGCAGGATGAGCTCAGGGCTCTCAGAGGGGCACGGGGGGCTCACGGCCACAGCCCAGCCACTGCTCTGTGCCAGCCTTTCCCATTTAATAATTTACAGAGCCAGTGGCAGGGCTGGGGGGGTGGGAGGGAGAGTGTAAAGGTTGGATGGTGCTGGGGAGGTGACTGGAGCTCTTTGAGGCATCTCAGATGAGGGATGGGCAGCACATCTCCCAGAGGGGTGGGGAGAGGCACCCAGGTCACCCCTGATCTGAGGGGATCGCGAGGGAAAAGCTGGTTGGTGCCTCTGGGCATCACAGTTTGGAGTGGTGGTGGCAGTGACGCCTGTGGGTGCCAGGTCACCTCTGGGAGGCTTTGTGGAAGGGTATCAGGATGTCACCTCTCCTTCCCACGGGCTGGGCTGGCTTTTGGGGTCCCCCTTATCGGTGAGGCTTCTGGCACTGGGGAGCTGCGGGTGCCTTTGTGTGGTGATGGACCCCTTCCCTGGCATTAAAGGGGTACTGGGGTGAGAGACCCCCTGATTACAGCACTGAGGGTTTACCTGGAGCTGGGAGCAGGATGTGGGGTGGGGGACGTGGCTGCGCCTCAGCTCTGAAAACTTGTGGGTTATTCTTAGTGCTGAAAGGTGGGGATTAGTGCGTTTCCAGCTGTGAGTGGGACCGGGAAGGGGAGACAATATCGGGATGTCATTAGAGAAGGGGGGGGAGTCCCGGTGGAAATACCAAGTCCAGGTCACAAAACAATGTGTTTGGTCCTGCCAAAGTGGGAACACGCTCCTTTGGGGGCGGGAGGAGAGGGGAGGGGGGAAGCAGACCCCAAAGGCTCTTTTGAGGGGAGGTGAAGGGCTGCCCTTCCATCCTGGGTGCCACTGGTTGTCTGGCTCTCCCCCCAAGAGCTGTCAGTGCTCCCCAATCCCTTGGGGCTGCTCCCGGAGGAGCTTTGGGATGGAGTGGGGTGTCTCTCTGCCAGGCACTGGCTTTCCACCTCCACATCCCCCTGTCCCCCAGCGGGGCGGTGGCTCAGTGAGTCACCCGTGGAGCATCCCCGGTGTCCCTGGGTGCCCAGTGCCAGCACACAGCGCCCTGACTCACCCGCTGGCAGGAGCAGCTCCCGGGGCTGCCGCCTCCTTCCCGATCCAGGGCGAGGATCCTGCGTGGGGGCTCCTTGTGCCAAGGCTTTGCCACCCAGCAGCAGCTTTCCTGGGATTATCAGGGACTGGTGATCGTTATGGGGGTTTGTTCTCTGCTGTCACTTGTGGCCTCTACCCAAAATTTCCAACTCAACGCCCAATGATTGGACCCTCAGGCCCTGCAGGGGGATTTGCTGCTGCTCTTTGCCCCCTTCCCTGTGTCAGCACAGACATTGACCCCCAGGAGAGTGGGGGGCAGCCCTGGGGTCAGGCCCGTGGGTGGGATGTGCTTTGGAGGAGCCGAAGTCTGCAACCTCCCGTGTGCTCATGGAGCAGCACGTGCGTGCCCGTGGCACAGCCCTGGCTCCACGGCAGTTTAGCCACATTTTCCATCCGTTCCGCCGGAGACGCTGGGCGGGAATTGGGGCCGGGAGATCCCAGGATCCTGCTGCCTCGTCAGGGCTGGGTGGGGACGCGGGGGCCGCTCTGCCAGCGCGTCCCCTCCCTGCAGCTGGGGTGGAGTCGCAGCGCAAAGGGGGGGCGCAGGGGGGGTGTGGGAACGGGATTCAGTCCTGCTGCTTCCTCCTGGTTGGAATGACACGGAGCTGGCGGGGAGGGTGTCCCCTGGGATGACACGGAGTTGGCAGGGAGGTGTCCCCTGGAATGACACGGAGCTGGCGGGGAGGTGTCCCCTGAGCACAAGGGCCGGGTCCCCCCGGGGGGGCATCACTGCCAGGCTGCTCCAGGCACCGGGATGTGTCCAGGGCCACTTACACCGCTTCCCGGGATGCTTCCCGGTGCATCCCGGGAGCTGGCAGCAACCCCACGGGCCATCTTAAGGTGGAGGAGAAATGGGGGGCTCGGTTAAGGTGGTGCTGGGCAGGAGGGCTTCTCTCACCTGGGACCCCATCAACTCTTGGTGGCTGTAATGGGGAGCAGCCAGGGCACGTTGTGTCTCCCACCACTGGCTCGTGGCCTGGGTGGGAGGGCTCTGAAGGGGCTCAGACTCCTCTTTTGCTCCCCATTTGTTCCCCTTTTGCCCCCATCTGCTCCCCCCCTCCCTCAGGGTTTGCTCCCAGCCGTGGGGAGCAGCACCCCAGCTCGGGGCTGGCCTGCTCCTTCCCTCTCTCCCACCACCCCATTCCAGCAGGACCAGCCCGTGTCTCCTCCACCAGCTGTGGGCAGGACCAGCTTGGCCGTGGCCGTGGCGTGGCCGTGGGGCTGAGCTGAGCTCGGAGACGCTCCTGCTGTGCCCGCTCGCTCTCCGCAGCCGCTGCTCCTCGGAGCTGGCAGGACACAGGGATCAGGTGGCTCCGGCGGCTCCGAGCGCCGCTCCCGGTGCCAGATTTACGGCTAATTTGATGCAGCATGTAAACAAGCTGGCCAGTGCCAACTGGCATCGGCTGGCACTTGAGGCTGCAGCACTGGGAGGGTGGCTGGGTGTGCTCGCCCCGGGGCAAAGCCCTGCCTTGGCTCCCTGCTGCTGGCACCTCGTGTTCCCCCCGTGCTGGCACTGGTGCTGCTGGGGGGCTGTGGGGCAGCCGTGGGGTTTGCCCTCATCCCTGTCTCTCCCCCCTCCAGGCCTGTCCGGGAACCCGACCGACCTGGAGAAGAGGCGGCAGGTCTTCGGCCAGAACTTCATTCCTCCCAAAAAGGCCAAGACGTTCCTGCAGTTAGTGTGGGAGGCACTCCAGGACGTCACGCTGATCATCTTGGAAATCGCAGCCATAATCTCCTTGGGCCTGTCCTTCTACCACCCCCCGGGTGGGGACAATGAACGTGAGTGCCCGGGGTCCCTGTGCTTTGGTGGGGGACTCCCGGGAGCCGCTGTGCCCAGCCCTGTGGGAGCAGGGATTTGGGACAGGTGATGTCTCTGGAAGCTCGTGCAGATGGAGCTACATCTCCTCACCCTTTTTAGGTGGTGGCATCTCCCCATCCTTGGGGTCTTTGGTGTGGCCCTCCCCAGGGACCTGCACTGTTGTCTGGGCACCACAGGCTCAGAGCTGCTCCTTGCTGCTCCCCAAAAGATGCTCCAAATCCAATGGGTCCATCTGACCCAGTGGCTTCCCACATCCCACAGGGCTTCTTTTTTGCTTTGGGCAGGGACGGACAATGCCATCTGTCCCCTGGTGTGTCCCCCTGCCCAGGGAGTGCTGTGACACCCCATGGGTGGCTGAGGACTGTGCTGGGCGGGTTTCTCCTCCTGGCCCTGGATCTCGGTGTTGTTGGAGGAGTCGAGCAGGCACAGGGCTCTGGAGATGCAGGGAGATGTGAGACACAGGGAGATGTGACTCACTCGAGGGTCACGCAGCGCAGGGAGGGCTGGGTGCTGCAGCTGGAAATAGAAATAGAAGCCAGTTGTCCCAGCTCAGCCCAACTTCTGCCAAAAAGGAAAAGTGATAAAAGAGGGGGGGAAAAAAAAAAAAGCAAACCCAACAAATTCCTCGAGGGATGTAAAAACCGTCTCCTGAGAGCAGGGGAAGCCCAGGCAGCTCAAGGGAGGAGGAGGGAGGAGTAACTGTTTTCCAGGCTCAGCGTGACTCTAGGCGGGTGTTGGTTGTGCAATCAGTGCCTGGGTGTGCAAATGAGTGCCTGGGTGTGCAAATGAGTGCCTGGGTGTGCAAGTGAGTGTGCCTGGGTGTGCAAGCACGTCTGGGTGTGCAAGTGAGTGTGCCTGGGTGTGCAAACACGTCTGGGTGTGCAAACGAGAGCTCTCCCCCCGGCAGTGTGTGGGCAGTCGACGGGCGGCGTGGAGGACGAGGGCGAGGCGCAGGCCGGCTGGATCGAGGGGGCAGCCATCCTGTTCTCCGTGATCATCGTGGTGCTGGTGACCGCCTTCAACGACTGGAGCAAGGAGAAGCAATTCCGGGGCCTCCAGAGCCGCATCGAGCAGGAGCAGAAGTTCACGGTGATCCGCAAGGGGCAGGTGATCCAGATCCCGGTGGCCGAGATCGTGGTGGGAGACATCGCGCAGATCAAGTACGGTGAGTTGGGGGTCTGCCCTGCCCCTCGGGGGTGGCTGGGGTGTGTCCTCCCCCTCAGGAACCCAGCTGGAGGCTGTCCCTCCCCCTCAGGAGCCCAGCAATTCCTCCTCTGCTCCTCCAGCCCTTCTGCCCTGAGGGGAAGTGTTGGCTCCTCCTTTCTCTCGCAGCCCCCGTGGTGATGGGAGATGCTCCCTGGAGCTCCACTCACCTTGTCTCTGGCCCGCCTGGACTTGGGCTGGCAGAGCTAAGCCAGGCTCTGTGCACACCTCTGGGCTGCTTTAGTGACCTGCTGTTCTCAAAAATGATTCGTTTTCCCAACCATGTCCTTGTTGGTGAACATTTCCTTAGCCAGGAGATGCTCGTGAATATTTCCTCAGCAGGGAGATGCAGCCTTTGGGATAAATTAGGTCCTGCTCCTTGTTTACCAGGGGGAATATTCACCTCATGCAGCTCCTGTCAGGAAGGAGACTGATCCAACATCAAGTTTGTTTTCCCATGGGGTTTTTTCCCTCCTTGGAGGTTGGAAGATAGGATCCTGTAATGGTTTGAATGTGTCAGGAGCTTTGGGAAGGATCTGGTGTTGATTTATTAAAACTGGATGGGAAAGCACTGTCTGACTGAGTAAAATCCTCATCTTAAAAAACCTACCTGCTGCTTCTCCTCCCTCTAGATTTGGTCTGGGGCTGAGTTTTGAGTCCTTTTGAAGCCTCCTCATGGGGGGGGGGCAGTCAGGGGTGAGCAGTGGCTGCCCAGACCAGGCTGATCCCCCTCTGTGCTCCTGTCCCAGGTGATCTCTTGCCAGCGGACGGGATCCTGATCCAGGGCAATGACCTGAAAATAGACGAGAGCTCGCTGACTGGGGAGTCAGACCAAGTCAAGAAATCCATGGACAAAGACCCCATGCTGCTCTCAGGTGAGGGTCCCTGTGGGGTGGGTGCAGGGGTGGGATGGAGAGATGGTTGGTCTTGGGTCCTGATGTTGGGAAGGTGTCCAAGGCCAGGTTGGACGGGGCTTGGAGCAGCCTGGTCTAGTGGGAGGTGTCCCTGCCCGTGGCAGGGGGTGGAACGGGATGAGCTTTCAGGTCCCTTCCAACCCGAACCATCCTGTGATTGTGTGAGATGGGAACTGCTGTCCCACCTGTCTCACTGTGACCTTCCTGCTGTGCCAGGTACCCACGTGATGGAGGGCTCTGGCAGGATGGTGGTGACTGCCGTGGGTATCAACTCCCAGACAGGAATCATCTTCACTCTCTTGGGCGCGGGAGAAGGAGACGAGGAGAAGAAAGTGAAGAAAGGTAAGGAGATCCCCTGAACCCGCCTTTTCCCTCCTTTGGCCTCTCTCCCTTCCCTGGGAAGTACCACCAGTGTGCCACAAGCAGCTCCCACACCCGTGGGCTGCAGTTGTGTGTCAGTGCCCGTGGCCTGGGCACGTATGGTGAGCTCTCGAGGTGGGGGGGTCCCTCCCTGTGGCCCTTCACCCACAGTGTGGGGCTGGTGCTGCCCGAGGAAAGCCCCCTGTGCACCCAGGCTCTGCTCCCTGGCTCTTTTGGACATGGCTCCAGCTCTCTTGTCCCCAGCTGGATCCAGGCTGGAGCTGTGGGCTGGGGGGATTGAGGATCAGAGGGAAGGGTGGCTGGTAGTGCTGCCCACGGTGCTCCTTGCTGGGGAAGGTGAGTCCTGGTTGCCCACAGGGTGTTGGTGGTCCATCCAGAACCTTGAGGACTTGGCTGAGGATCTCTGCTGGCATTCCCCGAGCTCCCTGGGGAAGGAGATGAGGCAGAGGATGGCAGGAGGGAGAGGAGGGGTTGTGTGCTGGGGTGGGAGAGCAGCCGGGCAGGGTGAGGTGTTCCTGATGGTGTTCCTGATGCTTTCCTGCTGCTTATTGCCCTGCTCTGTGCCAGCTCTGGTACCAGTGCTGGGACCAGCCAGGCTTGGGAAGCTCCTGTTCTCCCGTGTCCCTGAGCCCCTGCTCGGCAGGTCTGGGCTCACCAGGAGCAGCCATGAGGTAGAAGGAGCTGGCAGGAGGGGGCTGCTGGCTGGCACTGCCGGCTGCTCAGGCGTCCCTGTGCCAGGGAGCCCTTCCCGGGAGGCGATGCCAGGCAGGGAGAGGCTTCCCGGGCTCTCCTGGCAGCCATTCCAGCTCTGGGCTGTGTGTGCTGGGTTCCTCCAGCTCGGATCACCGGCCTTCGGGGGCTGTGGAGCTCCTGGGGCTCAGGTGCCAGCTTGGAGGTGGGAGGAGGAGGTGACACAGGCATGGCACTGCTGTAGGAGCTGAGCAGCAGCTCGCTGGGCACCCGGGCAGCGATGCTTGGTGCTTTCCCAGCCTCCAAGCTCTGTCACTCAGCCCCACAGCAAACCCAGATTTGGGAGCAGAGTGGGCCAGGGGGTCCCCCCTGTGGAACTGGGGGATGATGGGGGGGGACAAAGCCCTTGTCACTCGAGGCTTGTTCAGGCTGCAGCCGCCCTGTGCTCCCCATTGGGGACCCCCACGTGCACACCTTGCCCACCACAGACCCTGGGGTCAGAACCCCCCTGCTGTGGGTCTGGTGCTGCCCTTGATGGGAGACAAATCCACGTGTCCCATGTGGATCTGCCTGCACCCGGGACAGGAGGGGACCTGGAGCTGCAGGGGGTCAAGCTCTGCTGGGGGGTTTCTTCTTCTCCTCAAAGGTCTGAGGCACCTCTGGCACCCTCTGAGGCACTGACGGGGGTTGTGGCGGGTGCTCTGCAGGTGGGGAAGTCTGAGGCCTTGGGTTTGGGTGCCCGGGGGAGCCGGGGAGCTCCGGAGCCTCCCCAGGGCCGTGAGCTGTGGACCGAGGCACGCGCGGTGTCCGGAGGGTGACCGTGGGCTCTGAGCCCAGGGCACGGATGCCACTGGAGCGGCCCCTCGGAGCAGGGCCCATCCCAGGCTGTCCCCCCAGCCGGATGGTGAGTGTGGGTCCATGTGCTCAGCCCCCCACCCTTTCTCTCTTTGAACAGGTAAAAAAAGCGGAGCCCCCGAAAACCGCAACAAAGGTAACCAGCCTCTCCATCCTTTGAACCAGCACCACACTAACTACTGAGCATTCCTCCTTCCTTCCTTCCTTCCTTCTTCTCATCAGTCTGTGCTCTTTGCTGCTCCGGCGGGACTCTCGCCTCGTTGTCCTGGGAGAGGGTGCAATGGTCCCGTGGCCGGTGGCCCTGGCACGGCATCGCGGTGCCCCCTGGCACCCCAGCGTGGGGCTGTGCATCCTGGGATGAACCTGACCAACTCCCCCCATGGCCACGTTGCCCCTGCGTGGGGAAAAGCCCTTGTGCAGGGAGGACAGGGCTCTTCCAGCAGCCTGGACCTTTGGCAGAGCATCCCTTTCTCGGGACAAATTTCACATCCTTGAGCTGCATCAGTGATTTGATGGCTCTGAGGCCCTTGGGCCCATCAGATGCTGTCCCTTCCCAGGGTTTGTGTTTGGATGTGGCTGGGGGAGAGATGTAGGTCCCTTCCTGGTGTTCCCAGATGAAATATCCCACGGGGCCTGGCCAACGTGATGGTTGCACCCTCTCCTCCCATGGCCTCGACTCCGTGAGCGTCTCCTCACCAGTGTTTCTCACACTGTTCTTTGCAGGCTGTGGAGGAAGCCCATTTCTGCACCTCTCTCCACCTCTCTCTCTCTCTCTCTCTCCTCTCAGCAGTTTGAGTTTCCCTCCTTCCCGTCAGACTGTGTCCGGGTGCTTGTTCTGTCCGTGTGGGGTCTGTTGTGACGTGGAGGTGTCCGATGTGGAGCTGCCGTGAGCTCCGGGGTGTCTCGAGCCATCGAGCAGCAGCAGCCAGGAGGGGACAGGGCCCGGGGCAGCAATGGGGCCACTGCTGCTCCTCCAGCTCCAACAGCTGAGGAGGAGCCTCTCAGGGGCATTCCCACCCTCTTCCCATCCCTCTCCAAAGCTTCCAGACTTGGGTTTCCCCAGTGCAGACTTTCAGCTGGACTAGAGCAATCATAGGCACAGGAAGCCTGGCTGTCTCGGGTCCTAAACGTGTGGTGGATGGCTCAGGGCTGGGATTCAAGGAGCTGGCTCCCTCCTCTTCAATCTCCATCCGAATTTCTAACCGTCCCCTCCATCTCACCCCCTCAGTCACTTCCCTGGCGAGTGATTCCTGCTGAGCTGCCCACAGGGCACTGCAGAGGTGGCACTGGGAGGGAGTGGGGATGATCATCAAGGGACTGGGGGGACTGGAGCATCTCTGGGGTCAGCCCAAAGCGCTCCCAGTCCGCTGCAGGGTTAGAGGCTGGATGAATCCAGTCTCCACCCCAAAACCTGGCCAGAGGGTTTCTTGCAGCGCTGCCTTAGAGTTGTGACCAGTGCCAGTGTCACCTCTGAGGATCCCTTATCCATGGGCTGGGGTAGATGACACAAAACTGCCCCATAGAGAGGTGGCAGGGCCCTGGGACACGGAGATTCCATGTGCTCGGATGCGTGTGTCGCCGGGAACGGTTCTTGGTCTGGGTTCTCTCTCTCTCTCTCTCCCACCACCATCTTTCTCAGTGGTGTCCTCCAGGGTTTCCCGGTCTCTCTCCTATTCACACGTGGTGTCTTATTTTGCCCTTGGGCTGTAGCTAAAACTCAGGATGGTGTGGCCTTAGAAATTCAGCCCCTGAAGAGCCAGGAAGGGGTGGAAAATGAGGAGAAGGAGAAGAAGAAGGTGAAGGTGCCCAAGAAGGAGAAGTCTGTGCTGCAAGGGAAGCTCACGCGCCTGGCGGTGCAGATCGGGAAGGCAGGTGAGTGGTGATGGCCTGGCATGAGCCACCACCCCAGAGCTGGTGGAGAAGGGCTGTCCCTGTCCCCTGTGTCCCCTGCATTCCCCTCACTCTGTCCCGTGTGTCCCCAGGGCTGATCATGTCAGCCATCACCGTCATCATCCTGGTGCTGTACTTCGTGATCGACACGTTCGGGGTGCAGAAGCGGCCCTGGCTGGCCGAGTGCACCCCCATCTACATCCAGTACTTCGTCAAGTTCTTCATCATCGGGGTCACCGTGCTGGTGGTGGCCGTGCCCGAGGGGCTCCCGCTGGCCGTCACCATCTCCCTGGCCTACTCCGTGAAGGTGAGACCGCGGCGCCGCGGGGTCGCTGGGGGTGCGACGGGGGAACTCGGGCTGCCGGCTCTGACCTTCCCGCTCGTGGGTGCCCGTTGCAGAAAATGATGAAGGACAACAACCTCGTGAGGCACTTGGACGCGTGCGAGACCATGGGCAACGCCACGGCCATCTGCTCGGACAAGACGGGCACGCTGACCATGAACCGCATGACCGTGGTGCAGGCCTACGTGGGGGACACCCACTACCGCCAGATCCCCGACCCCGAAGCCATCCTGCCCAAAATCCTGGACCTCATCGTCCACGGCGTCGCCATCAACTCGGCCTACACGTCCAAGATCCTGGTGAGCTGGAGAAACACCACCCTGTGTGTCCTCTGCAGCTCCGTCCCCAGGTTTGGCATCGCTTTTTCCCTTCCTTTCCCCTCTCCAGCCGCCCGAGAAGGAAGGGGGGCTGCCCCGGCAGGTGGGGAACAAGACGGAGTGTGCCCTGCTGGGCTTCGTGCTGGACCTGAAGCAGGATTACCAGGCCGTGCGCAACGAGGTGCCCGAGGAGAAGCTCTACAAGGTCTACACCTTCAACTCCGTGCGCAAGTCCATGAGCACGGTGCTGAAGAACAGCAACGGCGGCTTCCGCATGTACAGCAAGGGCGCCTCCGAGATCATCCTCCGCAAGTAACTGTCCCCCCTCGCCCCATCCCGGGGGCTTCGGGCTCTCGCTGCCCCGGGGACCTGTTTGGGGGGGCTGCGGGGTGAGGGGTGGGGAAGGGAGGTGACTCTTGGGAGGTGCTGCCCTGCAGAGGGTTTAACTGGTTTTGGGTGGTTTTGGGAAGGCTGGGGGGAGCTGTGGGTCGGGGGATGCCCCCGTTGAGCAGGTGGGGGTGGCAGGGGAACGTGCCACCAGTGGTGACCCTCGCCCTCCTCCCGGTCCTCAGGTGCACCAAGATCCTGGACAAGAACGGCGACCCCCGGGTGTTCAAGGTGAAGGACCGGGACGAGATGGTGAAGAAGGTGATAGAGCCCATGGCCTGCCACGGGCTGAGGACCATCTGCCTGGCCTTCCGGGACTTCCCTGGGGACGCTGAGCCCGACTGGGACAGCGAGAACGAGATCCTGTCTGACCTGACCTGCATCGCCGTGGTGGGCATCGAGGACCCTGTGCGGCCAGAGGTACCGACCCCGCTCTGCCCCAGCTGTCCTGCACCATTCCAGGACCAGGGACCCCTTTCCCGGCTGCTCAGGACCACGAGCCCCTTAGCAAGCCCAGGCACCTCCTCTGTGTCCAGCCCTGGAGTGCCCCACACCACCAGCTCCCTGCTGCTGGCATTTCTCTCCCACCCCTGGACAAAATGACCTGGTCACAGGGGGTTTCCACCCAAACTTTCCACCCCAGCTGCTCCAGAGGTCTCTGCACAAGCCAGGCTGGTTCCACATGGGTGAAAGGTGGATGGAAACACCACAGAGGAGGGATGGGGGTGTTGGAAAAGGACAGGGCTGGTGGAGCTCGTTTGCCCCTCTCAGCTGCTGCCCCCACCGTGAGGGTGCCAAGCTGGCAGCTGGGCTAATGCAATAACCCTGCCATTCCTGCCTCTGCATTCCAATTTGGAGCTTGCCCCCGTGCCCCTGCCTTGCCTGGATCTTTTCCTGATTAGATGTCCAAGTATCTGGCTCTGGGAATTGCATTACAGATGCCCCGTCTGCACCGGCTCTGGAGGCCCTTGATTCAATTTGCTAATTCCTCACTAACATCCTCTTCCCCCACCGTTCCATAATGGATAAACCCATTAGTGCTGCTGGAGTGGGGTGGGGAAGGGGGGTGAAATGCCCCTGTTTTTATGGTGGCCTGGCAATGCCTTGGCACCCGGTGCCGTGGTGTGACAGGGAGGTGGCAGCGAGGTTCCCTTCCCCCTGGGGCAGCGGATGCAGGTTCCTCACCCCGCCAGAGCCCCTTTCCAGATCCTTTTAGGGAGGCTGGGAGAGGAGCTGCCTGGCTCCTCTGGGATACCCAGTGCCAAACTGAGCACCCTGCCTGTGTTCCCCCCCGCCCCAAACTCTGTCCTTGTCCCCCAGGTGCCAGATGCCATCCAGAAGTGCCAGCGTGCGGGGATCACCGTCCGGATGGTGACAGGGGACAACATCAACACTGCCCGTGCCATCGCCACCAAGTGTGGCATCCTGCTGCCAGGGGAGGACTTCCTGTGCCTGGAGGGGAAGGAGTTCAACCGGCTCATCCGCAACGAGAAGGGAGAGGTGGGAGAACAGCCCTGGCACTGCTCTGCTGAGGGCGTGGGTGGCCTGAATCCGGGTGGGATTCCCTCCTCTCCCTGGATAATTGTACCTGCTGGGATGTTCACCCAGCCAGACACAGGGTGCCTGGGGGAGAAGGTGCTGTCCTGTCCCAGCTGGAGTTTGCTCTCTGGCAGGGCAGAATATTCCAGAGGGCTCACTTCCCTTTCTCCCATTTTTGTCCCGCAGGTGGAACAGGAGCAGCTGGACAAGATCTGGCCCAAGCTGCGGGTGCTCGCCCGCTCCTCCCCCACTGACAAGCACACTCTGGTGAAAGGTGAGCTCATCCCGCTCTTCCCGGGTGCTTTTCCAGCCTGATCCAGGCTGGGAGCCTGTCCTTGGGGTTTAATTTCTCTGCACTGCTTGTCTCCCTGTCAGGAATTATCGACAGCACCGTTGGTGACCAGAGGCAGGTGGTGGCCGTGACCGGGGACGGGACCAACGATGGCCCAGCCTTGAAGAAAGCAGATGTTGGCTTTGCCATGGTATGGACAGGCCGTGGGTTTTCCTTTGCTCCCTGGGGTGAGAAAACTGATGGCATGTTTGGTTATTCCCAACACTGAAATTATTTCCGGACCGGTGAAACTCTTTTCCAAATCTACAGGACGGCTTAAAAACTAAGAAAGAAACCTCATCTGGAGGTTTGATTTAATTTTCGTATTGTATTGGCCTGTTAGCAAGGGACTGGGAAGTCATTCCCTGGGAGCCTGGCTTGGGGCTGGGCTCTGTCCCACCTGGAGGGACCTTGTTGGGCTGAAGGTGACACTGCACTTGCAGAGCCCCCAGAGCAGGAACCTGCCCAGTTTGTCCCTGCAGTTCTTCACCCCAGCTCCAAGCACGGTGCTGGCACTGGCTTTGGGGGTTTGCTCACAGTGGAGAGCTCTGATCTCCTGGTTTGCTGCTCTTTTTTGCCCCGTCTGAAAGAAGCAGGAAAACAAACCTGTTGGTTTTAACAGGTTTCCCGTGGATTGTCTGAAGTTTAGGGATGTGAGTGGGAGCCAGGTGCTGGGTGGAGCCTTGTGAGCTTTGAACAAGTGAGAAATTTTGGGGGAGTGTTTTTAGGAATGTGTTAAATACATAAGGAAATTCTGGAGCCTTTTGGATGAGCAGTAGAAAGTAGGCGACTGTGCCTCTGGAGCTTGTGCCCTTCAACAGCCTGATCTGAGATGGGATGGGGTCTGGCAAATCCCAAGAGAATTCCTCTGGGAAAGCACCAGGGAATGGGCTCGTTAAGGCCATGGCTTCGGCGTATTTAATGACTGCAGGACGAGCGCCTCAGTGTGCCCGTGGTGGGAATCACAGCCAGCCCAGTGTCCTCCGGCTCCGTGTCCTTGGAGACGCTGCCGGTGGTTTTTGGGAGGCTGGGGGGCTGCCGTCACCCCGGCTGGGGCAGAAGGCACCGGGATTTCGAGCTGCTGACCTCTCCTTCGTTTGGGATCCCAACCCTCGTGCAGCAGAGATGCCCAGCCTGGGATGCCCGTGTTCCCTGGCAGGAGGAGGAAGCTGTTTTCCAGCTTTGCTGCACCGTGGCCCTGTCTGGGACGTGCACAGGCACAGGCTGGAAGGCAGGGCTGACTCAGAGCCCTGGAGCTGAGCCGGTGTCTGTCCTTGGAGGCTTTGCTGCTTTGGAGCTCCGCTCTCCCGAGCGCGTTGGCGAGCGCGGGCTGGCACCGGCTGCTCTGGCTCTGTTGGATTTTCCTTTTGGGGGCTGTTTCTGGGAAGAAGCAGAGCCAGGCAGACAGAGCCTCTCTCCATGACTCACCCCACCGCTTCTCCCCGCTCCCCAAGGGCATCGCAGGCACGGACGTGGCCAAGGAGGCCTCGGACATCATCCTCACGGACGACAACTTCACCAGCATCGTCAAGGCCGTCATGTGGGGCCGCAACGTCTATGACAGCATCTCCAAGTTCCTGCAGTTCCAGCTGACTGTGAACGTGGTGGCCGTCATCGTGGCCTTCACGGGCGCCTGCATCACCCAGGTACGGGGACAGGGCAGGAGGGGTGGGGGATTTAACAGGTTTTCTGTGGATTGTGAGCAGGAGCCAGGTGCTGGGCAGAGCCTTGTGAGCCCGTGTAGGGAGCTTTGAGCAAATGAGAAATGCTTTGGGGGTGTTTTCAGGGAGGTGTTAAACATCCAAGTGCAGTCCTGGAGAGGATTTCAGGAGGAGGGTGGAGGGAGGAGCAAGGAGGGAAAAGAGGGTGCTTTCGGGGTGTGACGTGTTCTCCCCACTCTTCTCTCTGCAGGACTCCCCCTTGAAGGCTGTGCAGATGCTGTGGGTGAACCTGATCATGGACACCTTCGCCTCCTTGGCCCTGGCCACAGAGCCCCCCTCTGAGTCCCTGCTGCTGCGCAAGCCCTACGGCCGCAACAAGCCGCTCATCTCCCGCACCATGATGAAGAACATCCTGGGCCACGCCGTGTACCAGCTCACCATCATCTTCACACTGCTCTTTGCAGGTGAGCTTTGAGCCCCGAGGAATGGTGGGGGGAAAGGGAAAGGGGCAGAGCCCCAGCCCTGCCTGCAATCCCCCGTTCCTCCCCAAGGGGACCCTCGGTCTCAGCTGTCACTCAGTGAACCCTTGTTGGCCAGGATGGGGCTTGTTTAATCCTGGGTGGGAAGCAGAGGGATGATGTGAAGAGGAATTTTTTCTCTGGAGACCTCTGGGTGCACAGACAGTTTTGGCTTTTCAGCATTTCTAAGGCATTCAGGGTTCAGTGGGGATGGCACAGGGGACTCCAGCCGGGTCAAGGGATCTCCGGTGATCCTGGGGTCCTAATTCCACCTCCACCAGCGCAGAGCAGAAGTGAGGAGCAGGGTCTCACCCTCTCCTCTCTCTTCCCCTCCCCAAACCCCCTTGTGTGCTCAGGGGAGAAGTTCTTTGACATCGACAGTGGCCGGAACGCGCCGCTGCACTCGCCGCCCACCGAGCACTACACCATCGTCTTCAACACCTTCGTCATGATGCAGCTCTTCAACGAGATCAACGCCCGCAAGATCCACGGCGAGAGGAACGTCTTCGAGTCCATCTACCGCAACCCCATCTTCTGCACCGTGGTGCTGGGCACCTTTGCAGCCCAGGTGAGGCTACGGGGGCAGCGTGGCAATGGGGTGTCGGGGCCGGGAGGGGCCGGTGCCACGGGCAGGACCCGTGTCTGCTGCAGTCAGAGCCCACAGCTCTGTCCCGGCCCCTGGTTCTTCTCCAGCTGCTTCTTGGTGACAAAAGAACCTGGACCATCCCTGGCAGTGTTTAAGGCCAGGTTGGATGGAGCTCTGAGCAGCCTGGTCTGGTGGAAGGGGTTCAAACTGGATCATCTTTAAGATCCCTTTCAAACCAGACCATTCTGTGATTCTGTGATTTGAGGTCTAGAGTGTGTTGGGAGGTACCTCTGCTGTCCCATAAAGTTCCCAGCCTCGATGTGAGGTCCTTGTTCCCCTTGTAATCCCAGGAAGGAGGGAAAAGCTGTGTGGCCTGAGGGGACCTTCTCATGCCGTGGCTGTGCCCTGCAGCCCTTGGAGCTCCCCAGTGTGTGACTCTTCTCTCCTGTGCTGTAGATTGTCATCGTGGAGTTTGGTGGGAAGCCTTTCAGCTGCTCTGGGCTCACCCTGAGCCAGTGGTTCTGGTGTATTTTTATCGGAGTTGGGGAGCTCCTGTGGGGCCAGGTAAGAGCCAATGTCCCAAACCTGCCCCGTGTCTTTCCCTCCCGCTGCCTCCCTGCCCTTGTTCTCCCCAGTATTTATTCAAGGCAGCTTTGGGAGGGGGTGATGCTCCATCCCACACCAGCAGTGAGGAGGGGAGGTTGCTAATCCACTGCTCACTCCCATCCTGCTTCCAGAGGGACACATCCAGCAGTGACATGTCTCTGCTGCATCCCAGTGTGTCCCAGCTGGGTCTGGGCAGCTCGTGCTCCCCTTGGCTGGTGGGCTCCTGCTCCCATGGCCTCAGGCTAAGGAGCTGCTCTCCCTGTCTCTCCCCAGCTGATCTGCACTGTCCCAACCAGCCACCTGAAGTTCCTGAAGGAAGCTGGGCACGGCATCACCAAGGAGGAGATCCCAGAGGAGGAGCTGCCTGAAGACGTGGACGAGATCGACCACGCCGAGATGGAGCTGCGGCGTGGGCAGATCCTGTGGTTCAGGGGTCTCAACAGGATACAGACACAGGTACAGGGGGGCAGCAGGGATGGGGGGGCTCCTCCTTCTCTCTTTCTCCTTCTTTCTCTCCAGGGGATCTTTCTGGAAAGAGGTGACTGCTGCTGCCCGGAGGATGCCATCGCCTCCTGGGCCAGACTTCTCCCACCACCTGTGCCTCTCTGGGTCTGTCCTGGTTGGGGAACCAGGACAGCCTGGCTTTGGGGACATCTCGGGGTGGGGGGAGGCTGCTCTGATGCAGAGCACCATGTCCTACTGGTCTGCAGGAGGCTGGACGTGCCCCTACTGGGCACCTCGTGCAACAGAGGAGGTTGCTTGGAAGGTGTGGGGGGTCCATGGAGCCACCCAGGCTCTGTCATGCAGTGGGTCAGCACTGGAGCTGCCCTTGGTCACTGCTGGGATGCTGTTCCCAGTGAGGGATGTGCTCATTCTGCACGAGACCCTCTCTGGTCTCGCTCTTTGGCTGCTCTTTTCTTCCAGACAGCCCCTTGGCTGCTGCCACCCCTCTGTGCCAGCTCTCTGTGCTCCTCACCAGGAGCTCTTGGCCCCACAGCACAGAAGGGGAGGAGAATCTCTCTCTTGATATGCTTTTTACATCACCTGTTTTTCCCTTACACTCTTTTTTTTCCTGAAAGGGTGGTTTTTTTTGCCCCAGACTGGGCAGGGCAGGGTCAAAGCCCCTCACCTTTCCTGGAGGACTGGGCAGAGCTGGGAGGAAAGCTCCATGTCCCAGTGTCCCTGGCACACAGGGCTGCTGGGCTACCTTTGTGCCTCCTCTCTGTCCCTCTGACAGACAGAGAAAACCAAAAAGTCCCACAGGCAGGGGCTGGGGCAGCACAGCAGCTGGGCTGTGCCACAGGAACCTTCCTTCTCCTCTGGGAGATGTTGCCTTCTTGATGCTTTCAAGGTGGAGTTCAAATTTGACTCCCTGCTCGTTGTGAGCAGTGAGGGGCTCTCTGGGGAGCCTGGGCAGTGCTGGAAACCAGTGGTTCCCTCCCATGAAGGATGTGCTGGCAGCTCCAGGCTCTTTTGGAAGCAGTCCAGCTGTGTTGGAGGTCTGGGAGGTGCAAAGGGCTGCAGTGCCAGCAGCCAGGTGAGCCTGGAGCCTCCCAGGTATCTCCCTGCAGGTGTGGTGGACCTGGGCTGAGATGAGCCCTTGCTCTTGCAACATGAGAAACGCTCCTGGATGCACATCCTGGAGCCTCATCAGGGACTCCTTTCCTGGCTGTGGGTGCCCTTGAGCCCTTGAGCAGAGCAGAGCAGGCCTGAGCATTTGGGGGCTTCTGTCCCCACTCAGTGTGTCTGAATGAGAGCACAGGGCTCATCCCCACAGCCCAGCCTGGGGCACTGGGGAAAAGAGGGGCATCAAACTGGGGAAGGAGCGAAGCCATGTGTGAAGTCCCTCCAGTTGAGCCAGAGCTTCACATGGGTCTGGAGGAGGTGTCCCTGCCACAGGAGCTCTGCTCCCTGCACAGGGCTGGGGACACTCCAGCTGCAAAGTGTCCAGGAAGCCAAGGTGGCACCTGGATCCTGCCTGGTTCCTCTGCCCTTGGAGCACATCCACAGAGCTGTGGCCCCACCACCAAGGATACTTCTTGCTGCATTCCTGCCCCCTCCAGCTCTGCTCCAGAGCCCTGAGCCTGGGAGAGGGGCTGAAATGTCTCCAGCTGTGGGCACATGGTGTGTGCCAGGATTCAGCCCCCCCAGCTGAACACCCCACAGGGCTGAGGGACCACAAACCCTTTGCCAGTGCAGTTTTCTGGACCCACCGGCTGCCAGCTCGCACCTCTGCCCACCCTCTCTCTTCCTCTGCTCCTGCTGCAGATTGCTGGGATAACCCAAGGTGTTTCCTCTGTCACTCCCTCCCACCACGGTCTCTCTGGTGGTGGTGGGGTAACTCCTGCTGCTCTCGCTCCCGTGGGAGGGGCAGAGGCTGGAAGGTGACCCCTCTGCTCCCCGGATCACCAGCCCAACCCGGTGGGGGCTTACGGGGTGGGGGGCTCTCTCCTCCCTCCTCCCCACCTGTCCATCCTCCTTCTTCCTTCCTGTCTGTGTGTGTCTGCCCGACCCCCCTGCTCCCCTCCCTCCCTGCCCCTGCCCCTGTCCCTGCCCGGGCGACGCTATCTCACTCTCTGGTTCTTTGCAGATGGACGTAGTTTACACATTCCAGACCGGCGCCTCCTCTTTGCAGGGAGCCCTCAGGAGACAGCCTTCCATCGTGAGCCAGCACCACGATGTAAAAAATGTTTCTAGCCCAACCCATGTAGCTCTTTCCTCCGTCAATTCCACTCCCACCACTTCTGCTGTTGCTGCTGCTGCTGCATCTCCTCCTGCGGGCAGTGAGTGATAGTCTATTACAATGCATGACTTCTAATAACCACAGAGAGCACCTGCACCCACCTAACCCGGCCTGTTCTCTCTCCCTCTGAACCCTGACTCGCACACTGGTTCCCAACATGAAGGATGGGGCGGGAAAGCGTTAAAAAAACCATGGTTTTGATGCTTTTGTTGCACCTTTAACAAGTTGACCTTTCTGGTCCTTCCCCCCCCAGTCCTTGTTGCTTCCTCTGTTTTTTACCTCTTCTCCTCCTTTGCAGGGCTGATGTTTGAGTCCACCCTCCTGAGGGGTGCAAAAATTGGCAGCTCTCGTTCAAAGAGCCCCGTGTTCATGAGCAGCTAAAAGCACTGCTGTGAGAGGGGCAACACTGAGCCAAAAATTCTGCTGGTCCTTTCCACCGCGGCTCTGCCCGGCCCCGGGACGCCCCGGGAGGGCAGGGGTGGGCAGAGGCGTTGCTTTCCTGCAGCTGTAAATCTGTTTGGAGGCAGAGTGGCCGCTGGGACCTTCCCCCAGTGTGCTGCAGGGCTGGCTGAGCCGTGGGGAGGGCGTGTGAGGGGCAGGATTTGCTCCTGCTATGGGTGGGATGGAGGTTGGACTGTGAACAGCCCTGCCCGTGGCTCAGCTGGCCCGTGGTGACACCTCGGGGCTGCTCCCCTGGTTCAGAGCTGGTTTGGAAGCAAGCAGCCTCTGTGTCCCCCCTGGGGGCTTGCATGGCACGTGGGACAGAGCTGAGTGTGCCCTGGGGGCAGCCCAGGGCTCTGCTGGTCCCCTGGCAGCCAGAGCATCCTCAGTGCCCACCTTGTCCTGCACACGCTGGTCCTCGGTGTGTGCAGACACGCCGCTGTGCACGCAAACGGGATGGAAACCCCTGATTTTTCCAGTGGGAAAGCTGGATCCTGGATCTAGCAGTGGGTTTCCAGGCCAAAATAATCCCTGCCTGGTGCAGAGCCCCTCTCTGTGCTCGTGGGGAGCTGCGTGTCCGGGCTGGGGGAGCACGTGAACGTGAGTTCTCTCTGCAGGCTGTGCCAGGCTGGGAGTAGGTTGTGTGTCTTTCCTGGATAATTGGCTTTTTTACTGCACAGTCACTTTCCGTGTTCTCCTCCTATTAGAGAAATATCCTCAGTGACTTTCTGAATAGCTTTCAGTCTCCACTGTTTATGCACTGTGGGGGAGGAGAGAGAATTTCGGATAATTTTGTTTTCTCTCTCTATTTAGCTGACTCTGGTGCTTGGATTTGATTGTGTTTAACCCCAGTGTTTCTGAAGCAGCACAGCTGCCTCTCTGCTCCCGCCTGCATCTGGGCACCACCGAGACTTTCTAATGGGAGAAAAGCTGCTTAGGGGGGCTCAGGGTAGTGGGCTCAGGGGTGGGCAAGACCAAAATGCAGGTTTTTTGCAGTCTGTGCATTAATTCCCTCCCCAGATTTGCAGCAAGGGAATAGATAACCCGGGTAGCTCGTGCCCTTCCAGGCAGCAAATCCACCAGGAGCTAACCCAGGTCTCCAAGTCTTGCCTCTGTTTTCTGCCTGGACTTCTCTTTTTCCCTCTGCTGCTTCCCTCTCTCCCGAAGCTCCTCTTCCCTCCACACAGATCCATGGTGTCCCTCTGCCTCCCACTGCACTCCTGTGGATGAGTTCTCCAGGGTTGGACCTCGGCAGCCTCGCTGCTGTGTCCCTCCTGGGCTGGTGGAAAGGCAGGGAATGACCCTCTGGAGATGGTTTGCAGAGCTGGGCTGCTCTCCCTGGGAATTTTGCCCTGGAGTGAGGGAGCTGGGCACAGCCGGGGGTCAGCAGTGGGGCTGATTCTGGCCTCGTGCAGAGGATGTAACTCCCATCTCCATGGGAGCAGGGGGGTTTGCCCAGCACGTCGTGGTGCTGCAGGGCTGGTGTGAAATGAGAGTAAATTCCAAGCCTGGAGGTTGTGTGAAGGTTCCAGGTGGAGAGGAGGCGTGAGCAGGGAGGGAGGTGGGCTTCCAGCTTGGAAGGGGAGGGTTTGGGTTTTGTTTGCACTGCCTGGCTCATTCAGAACACATTTCCTTGCTGTTCTGTTCCTTTGACAAGGGAACAGCTGAATTCATTTCACAGCAGCTGCTGACAGAGATGGTTGAAGGAGGAAAATCTGAGCAAAGCTGCACAGAAGCTCCTTGGTGGAGCTGCAGGCAGTGAGGGGGCAGAGACAGGGAGGGCTCCTGGGGAGCTGCTCCTGCCTCTGTGCTGGGCTGAGCACCTCGTTGCTTTGGCAGTCCCTGGGCTCTCCTTGGCCTGTTTGGGTTGGTTATACTTGATTTAGTGCATTCTGTATTTTAGGGGTCAGGGATTGCAGGTGCTGTTCTCAAGGTGCTGGTGATGTGACAGATTATCAGCCTGGGTTGGAGGTGGCCTGTGTGGTCCTGTGCACTCCCACTGACCTCACCCAGGCTCTTCCTGTGGTGTTAGTGCAGCAAACCCAGCTCAGAATTTCTGTTTCCAGCTCCACCAACCTTCCATTTTTGCAGGGCAGCTGGTGCTCCAGCACCAGGGGGTACCTGATCCATGCTCATCTCCTCATCAGTGTCTCCAGCTCATGTGTGTGTGCTGGTCCATGTGTGTGTGTGCAAGAGCTGGGGGGGTTGTTTCCAGCCAGGATGTGCTGAGCCTGTGCCCGGGGATGCCACTCTCGTGGTGCAGCACCATCCTTCTGAGCCAGGTGCAGAGGGGACTCAGAAGGGCATCCCCTGTGAGAGGAGCCCTGGAACAACTTGCAGGTCAAACTCCCAGGGTTCCAGGCACGAGGCTCTTTGAGGAACCTCTCTGGTCTGGTTTGGTGAGTGCTGCTGGTGCTGAGAGCAGAGACCCCCAGGAGGCTCTTGCTGGCTGTGCTGGTTGGTGAGCTCCCTCCTGGCCTGGCTGGGCACCACGCTGAGGTGGGCAGTTAAACCCAGCTCATCTCAGCAGGACGTGGGGTGTGGGCTCTGCTCCCCCACCATTCTGCAGCCTGGGCAGAGAGGGGACAGAACTCACATGGCTCCTCATTTGCCTCATCAGAAAGGGGGTACCTGGATCCTTCTCCCTCCAGCTCTGCACATTCTCCACTCCCTTGGCCAGTGGCTGAGTGATGGGGAAGCTCTGGGATGTAGCACTGGGATGCTGCTCCCCCCCTTCTGTGGGATCTGTGGATCTCCTCCCTTTTGTGCCTCAGCCTCAGTCCACGGGGGCACTAGGAGAGCAGGCAGGGGACTGGGATGGGGTGGGGACTGGGTTCCTCAGGTGCTGGGAGCAGGTGAGGGTGGCTGATGAGCAGCAGTGCTCCTTCCATGGAGCAGGATGACTGGCACTGCTCCAGGGAGGTGTCATGGACAGCCCTGCTGCTCCCAGTGGGGCTGAACAAGGTCTCACAGTGGTCTGGAGGCATTTCCTTGGGACAGGAGGAGTTGAGCAGATCTCCTGGTCCCAGATGAACTCTGATTAACAGAGCAAAGGTTTCTGTTGCTTCCATAAACCTCACGAGACCTTGGATCTGATACTTGGATCTGACCTAACAACTGCAAGGGAGGGCGAGAGCTGGAAGGGTTCAAGGCTGGATTTCCAGAGGGTCTGGAGAGAGCAGTGAATCCACTGCAAGCCACCATCCAGCCTTGTTTCCAGACCTCTCCCTTCCAGTGCAGTGGAGGCAGCAGAACCATTCCCTGTTTGTCCAGACCAGGCTCTGGATCTCCTGCTTGTAACATGTTGGCTTTTGGGGGAGCTGCCCCATGGGTTTCCCATGGTTGGGATTCTGAGCAAAGAGAGTGGTTTTCCTGCAGAACATCCAACAGAATTAGCTGCCTTTGGAAACCACTGGGTCTGTTGGTGTAGGGAAGGATCCAGAGCTCCATCTGTGGGGAACCTCACACAGATCTGGCTTCCTTTGTGCACGTTTAGCTGGGTTAGCTAATCGTGGCATCCACTTGGATCTGGCGCTTCCCATGGGCTTGAAAAGTTGGTGACACCTTTTTAAAGCCCATTCCTTTCCCCAGGTCTAGCAGTGAACTAGAACAAACACACCCATGGCTCCCACGGTAGAGTGTTTTGAACCCGCTGTTTGTCTAACCCACCTCTTTTTTGAGTCGTAGTTCCACCCTGTTGTCCTCGTCCATCCCCACGAAACGCGTGTGCACACGTAATGACAACTAATGCATTTTGGCTTCCATCCATTCGGAGCGATCTGGGGGCGGGGTTTGAGTCGTTCTGTGTCTTTTCTTGCAGCTTCTGAAGTCGCCCCGTAGTCGGTCGATTCCCCCATCACACACCCAGTGCCTGAGTCTGATCCGTGTTGGCCCTCCTAGTTCACCATAGACCTCTCAGTTTGACCCAGCTGTGTGCTCAGTGGTGGTGACTTGTTGTCGTGGTCGTGCTTTTTCGTTTTTTACCGTGTCCTCACTCTTTATTTGGCCTCTCTCCCGGGCTCTGTGGCCCCCCCGAGCCGTCACTAACCCGTCTCTTTTGCCCCCTCCCCGCGCTCCCGGCAGATCAAGGTGGTGAATGCGTTCCGTAGCTCCCTGTACGAAGGCCTCGAGAAACCCGAATCCAGAAGCTCCATCCATAACTTCATGACTCACCCAGAGTTCATCCTGGAGGAAGACGAGCCTCGAACACCATTCCTTGACGGCGCTGAAGACGACCCCGAGACTGACGGGCTCCCGACGCGCGGCGGGGGGAGCCCGGGCGGGCCTCCAGCCCTGAACAGAAATAACAATGCAGTGGACAGCGATCGAGCTGAGCTCTCCGTCCCGGAGCCCGAGAGCCCCTTCCACAGCCTGGAGACATCGGTTTGACCTTAGAACTTGGAACCCCCCCCTCCTCCTCCTCCTCCTCCTCCACCTCGGCCCCTCGCCCGGTGTGACGTCGGCACCAGTAACTGTTCACACCTCGTGTCAAACTGCTCATACGTATATCATTGGGGTGGGTTTTTTTTTGGGGGGGGGGTTTATTTGTTTTCCTTCGTTTCGTTTTGTTGGTTTTGGGGGTTTTGGGGGTTTTTTTTTACCACGATTTAGCAGTGGGAACCAGAGTGCCACGATGCTGGGCGTTGGGGAGAGAGGCTAAGCCAAAAAAATTGTGCCATCTCCATCCCTCGTTTTCAGTGGTACTCGCCCGGGTGAAGCAGCCAGGTTCTTTCCTCTCCAAGAGTTGGGCTCCAGGCGTGTCTGTCTGTTGGGGGTTTTCTCTTTGCAAAATGCATGATCAAAGGAAATTCGAGTTGGTGTAGTCTTACGTGCCCACCCTCAGCCCGAGGGCTGGGCTGCACTTGTGACTTTTATTTTATTTCTTTTTTTTTTTTCCACTTGTGGTTTTTTGGGGTTTTCTTCTAACGTTGGGGTCTGTTCTTTGCTCGTGGGATTTGCCCCCAGGAACTCTGCAGTGGGAAGTGGGGGCAGTCAGCACTCCAGTGTGAAAACTAAGAAATAAACAACAAAACCCAGCCAGGGGAAGGTGTTTACTCGCAGGTTGAGGGATACAGGGATGTGCATCAGTCTTCCACCTTGAAAAATGGTACCTGACCTTTCCAGCTCCTCCTCTGAGTGTCCACACACACTTTTCTCTCTCTGTTTCCAAATTGGTAGATGAGGAACGAAGGTGACTTGGCTGTAACTTTGCTGGATGGAAAAGATTCTGATTTTTCTACAAAGGTGGAGGTGAACTGGCAGTGGAAAGGTGGTGGGGAAAAAAAAAACCACAGTTGTGAGAAATGGGGCTCCTTCCTGGGGAATCTTAAGAGAGGCCTCTCTGCTGCTCTTGATCAGGTGTGAAACTCTTGGTGAGAGCTTTGCCAGGGTTTTACGGCTCCTGCCTTCGAGAGCAGAGGGATTTCTGCCCATTCTGGCTTTTCTGTGCTGTTGGGTTAAATAATCCTTCAGCCTTGGAGTAGCAGCTCCAGTGAACTGCTGAGGAACCTCAGAGCTGTGCCCACCAAAAGCTTTACCAGGCTGAACAGAGAACAGGCATCGGGGCACTGAGGGCACAGTGGGCCAACTCCCAGGTCGTGGAAGGGATGAATTAGGTTGTCTCGTTATCCCATGGAAGGGGGGGAGGCTCCATGGCCAGTGGGGGACCCTTGGCTTCCTGGAGCTGCTTTGCCAGAGGAGGTGGCAGTTGCTTGGTTGGCTGCAGATCTTCCAGAGAAGGTGCTGCTGGAGGCTTGGCCTCACTTGCTGCTTTTCTGGAGGTCATCTCTTCACCCTGTGTCCTGCCTCACCTCCACCTCTTGGAACCTTTTAGGGAGAGTCCTGGTTTTTGGAGCAGAGGCCCCGGTTGGCTCCGAACTGCCCCTCTGGTGATCCATGGCCCTGAGCAGGAGGCAGGATTTGCTTTGCTTGAGTCCCTTCCCCAGGGTTGTGGCCCCAGGCAGGCAGGGCCGGAGGAAGCTCTGCTGCCTTCCTTCCCTCCTCCATCCCAGGGGAAGCTCTGCTGCCTTCCTTCCCTCCTCCATCCCAGGGGAAGCTCTGCTGCCTTCCTTCCCTCCTCCATCCCAGAGGAAGCTCTGCTGCCTTCCTTCCCTCCTCCATCCCAGGGGAAGCTCTGCTGCCTTCCTTCCCTCCTCCATCCCAGAGGAAGCTCTGCTGCCTTCTTTCTCTCCTCCATCCCGTTTGGCCCGGTTGGAAGCAGAGGGAACCTGGTTGTAACTGGCTGTACAATGTTGTCTTAGCCCAGCTCCACCCCTGGGAGCAGCGGGGTTTTAGGGGCAGGGTGGGCTGGGCTGGTTTCTTCTTTCCTTTCCTTTCAGAACGCACAGCAGAATCTCCCGTGCCTTCTCCGAGCACTGCCTGCAGCACCTCCTGCCACGCCAGGGCCCAGTACTTTGCCAAGAAATAAGTGTTCCTTAAACCACAACACAAACCAAGTGTCTTTGTTTTGTTTCCAGCCCAGCCCCGACCCCGTCCCTTCCTCGGGGTGGGAGGAGGGAAGGATGAGCCGCCCCATTCCTGCCCCAGGTAGCTGAGGAAAGGTCCTTCTCCCACCCCTCGTGCCTGGGTGCTGGCGAGGGGTGAAGGTTGGGCTCTACACTGCCAACAGCCAGAAGAAATTGCCACCACTGCCCATCCCAAATCCAGTGTCAACCCCCTCCCTGCCCATCGCTGCCCTCCCCTCCCCAAAACCCACCGTGGGCAGGACCTTTGAGGGGGGGAGTGCGGGAGGTTCTTGGGTTAAACACGAGTTGGTGACAGGAAAGACCGAAAGGAGGGGGGGGGGCGGGTGGTTGTGGGGTTTGGTTCTGTACTAAAAGGTGACATTGCTTAAAAACAAACAAAAAAAAACAACCAAAAAAAAAAAGATTCACTTTTTTCTATTTTAAATACTAGCAAAAAAAAAAAACAAAAAAAAAAAGGTGAAAATATGGTGTTCTTACAAGCTTACATAAATATTTATTAAATACTTTTTTTGGGGGGCGGGGGATGCACCGATTTATTTTGTTGTTGTTTTTTTTTTTTTTTTGTTTGTTTTTAAGCAATGTCACCTTTTAGTACAGAACCAAACCCCACAACCACCCGCCCCCCCCCCTCCTTTCGGTCTTTCCTGTCACCAACTCGTGTTTAACCCAAGAACCTCCCGCACTCCCCCCCTCAAAGGTCCTGCCCACGGTGGGTTTTGGGGAGGGGAGGGCAGCGATGGGCAGGGAGGGGGTTGACACTGGATTTGGGATG